TTACTGCTCAAAATTTTAATATAATTCATATAAATATATAACATATTAAAGTTCAAAATAAAATAGAAATATTTCGCCACAAATTTTGAATCGTTCATTCGAAGTGTATTTTTTGTCAACAACAATCAGACAGTTGCTGAAGTTCAATAATCTATTGATTCTCCTGAAAAACGTCGCAGCCCTAAGTTTAACCTATCTCTATTTGATATATTTTTATTATTCTCACGCCTTAGGGGGCGTCCATTAATCACGTGAGGTTTTTAGGGGGAGGGGGGGTTTGACAAAAAATCACGAATTATCACGTGGGGTAGGGGGGGTATGGTAAGATATCACGTGTATTTATGTTTTAACTAATTCTTTTAAAAAAATCAAACATTTTCAATAAAAGAATAAGAAATTTAAGATTTTTCACGTAACTAAAAATACACGTGATGTTTGGTGGGGGAGGGGGGGTAATTTTGAATATCACCACGTATCACCAAGGGGGAGGGGGGGTCTAAAAATCCTTAAAAACTAGCTCACGTGATTAATGGACGCCCCCTTAGTGAATAATTTTTCGTGCACGATTTTGTAAAAAATCTTAAATTCACTTCAAAAATTCAAAAATCGTTCGAAAGATATCAGTTGGGAATCGTTCCGACCAGTTGCCGCTAAAGATCGGCTAATTAGTAATTAATTGTTAAATTTTTTCAGAAGTTTTGATTACAAATACATGGACACACTCGTATATATATATATATATATAATATATATATATATATATATATATATATATTATAAAACGTACACAATATTTTCTCTTAAACATCGGATTTTTTTTCAATTGCTTGAAATAAAGGCTAACGAACTGAAAATTAGCTTTCAACAGCTTGTAACACAAGTTATCAATGTAAATTTTCATTTATGAATAATTATTAAATCATATTGAGAGGCAGATTCGACACTACAATGGCAGCTTGTCTAACAAGCAAAATCAAAGATATGTAGCGGTAAAAAGTCGAAGTAAACCAGTTATGATAATGTGCATCGGGGGTCTACCGATTTTGCTATTTCCAATTTATGGTCCTGTATCGAAATTCCTATTGTATGACATAAGATAATTTTAGTTAATAAATATACAGAATACTTTTCTCAATCCGTCTTTCAACCCAGTTGGGTATGAAAATTATTCTCAAATCACAGACAAATATTCTTTACCTATTCTTCGTTTATGAATACATTTCCGTTATACATTTTAAAATAATGTAAAAGTTCGTTGGACGTTATGGAACTTTCTAATAATCACAAAAGTGGCAGACTGTTTTTTTACGTGTATTGGCAGACAAGTTAAATTATGTCTCTATAGAATCACTCATTCATGACACATTCAAACGAAAAGGAATTGTAAATTCACTTTTCATATATGAAATAGTAGTAAGTAAGACATAAAAAGTAAGATGATTTTCTGTTGTTGATCACTAGTAATCTGCAACATTTTCGTTGATTATGTAGTCATCTTGAGATGCAAGACTTTCAGAGTGCATATGTGCAATATACTCCTCCTGAACGATTATTCGGATTTTGATAAATCTTTCTGAAGTTTGTTAAAGGAATTTTTTAAGGTGTATGGGATTATATAAATATAGTAATATTGTAGAAATAAATAAAAAAACGGCATGTCATTGTTTGACATTGAAAATATATTGATACATGAGAACTGTCATCTGTCAAAAATGTCGATCCCCTTGAAATTTGAATTTAGTTTAAGCGAGCCTAGACAATATTAGTATATATTATCCATATTTATAATTATGAATAAGAAAAATGTAATATCTACAAAATTATTGCCGAAAACCAGCTGAGATGTGCCAGAAATTAAAACAATATAATATACAATATATGTTTGGCAGATGAAATTATATAATTTACTTTAATAAATAACACAATATGTCCAAAATTGCATATGCATTTTTTTAGACTTATGCATGTTTTATTTTGCTTTACTTTACTAAATTATATAAATACAAAATAATATTTCTACTTATTGAAAACATGATTTAGATTTTTGTTTCATGTGTCTAAAGTTAATTTGTTCGGCATTGTATATGAATTATTTAGCAAGTTCATGATCTTACAATTAGATTGAACAGTGCCATGTAAACTAGATTTTACAAATTAATTCACCTAAGATTTCAACTAGAGTAATAATGTTTATTAAATTATTAGTAAGAAAAATTTACTTTAGAAATTATAATTGCCAACGAGCAACTAATATAGATAGAGTACTAATACGAGTACTATATAAATTATTGAAGCAAATATATTGGTTGGAAATAACAAAGGTGATATTGTTCTTTTACCGTAGATACTATTTTTATTCTTTCTGAATTTCTAATACTGATAAAAAAAACTGCAGCTTCCAATACGTATATATCTTATGCTAACAAAGACCATAAATAGAAGGACATTAAATAGAAAATTAAAATGTATAAGACAAGATATTACAAAATTTGGAACTTAAATTGTAGACGTGGGTACAGGACAACGTCTGTCGGGTTATCTAGTATATATATATACACATATATATATATATATATATATATATATATATATGCCAAAAGGTATTTAAACTCAAGAAAAAACTGTTGGACGCTTGCCAAGAAACGTCTTGGCATTTGGTTAATAAATTATAGCAGTAGTAATTTTAGTAATTTTTTCAAACGTTTTGAAGCCGTTTTTAAGTCTATGTATATGTAAATACTGAAAAAAGAAAGATATCTATAATTTCTTTTAGTTAAAAATTTTACCCATTCTTTATCAATTGCAATTTCAACTGCATACGAGATATTAAACACGACGACGAAAACTCTTGAAAATTTTTCTTGGAAAAAAGAGTTTTCATGAACCTGTTTTATAAAATAATGTGTTAATTCTAACATTTTCATTTTCTTGACCAACAGTAAATCGATATTGTTCATGAACAAGCTACATGAAGCTAAAATATTTTATACGCAGATGCCAGAAAAAATGCCAAAATTTAAATTTGTATTTTAAATTGATAGCTCAAAACCAACAAAAATTTACTGATAGATTCACTGACTAGTTTTTCAAACGTGTATTATATATATTCCAATATTGAGATAACCCAATCCCACTTGTATTCGCATTCAAATTATGAACAAATACATATGAAGTCAAAGTATCAATGCTTTTTCAAATCGGATGTGTGCTATCCTCTAAAAAGTCAAATAGTATTACGTAAATCATATTGGGATGAATTCATTCAAAAGTCGAGAACCTGTTTAATTTTTTTATGTTAATATATTTGTAAAATATTCACTTCTCTAAATATGTCACACGAAATAAAAAATTATAGCAATTAGAATTAAATTAAAACCTATGTCGTTAAAAATTGCATTTTCCGTTTCAAAAATATATGATAGGTATATTTATAATTTATATCGAAATATAAATTCATCTTTTTGTCAAAGAACTGTACAGTTTCAAGACATTATGTATGTGTTTATAGTAAGTCGACGTGTTGAAATAATAAGAGCAGAATCATTCTTTAAATATAATAAGATTGGAAAAAGTGTATAATTTTGAACAAAATTTTGAGGGTTTAGACATGTACAAATAATAAAATATTCTACATTTTTACAACAATTAAATATTTGTAATATCAAAGTTCTATTTTTTTTAAATTCCTAAATTTTTGAAAAATTTAAAAATGATTTTAAACAAAAAAACTTTCACAAACAAATTTTTAAAAATATTCAAAAGAGTTAAAGTTTTTGAAAATTATTAAAACAACATATTTTGTCCAAAAATTTTTAAACATTCGACTGAGAGCAAAAAAATTATCTTTACCAGCACTATTATTTTTCACATGCCATATAATTAAGACAATATAAAATATTATAATCTTGCTGGATTATCTAATTCTCCTTCAAATTATACTTAAGGGGGTATTCTACTGTGGAGGCATGAATTTCGCCCGGTTTTTGAAGCGCTGTATAAAGGAAACAAATAATATTTTTACTATCGATTTTTTTTATCATTTGTTTATTGATATTTTGTTATTACATAAAAAAATTATTGAAAAAAAATAATTAAAATTCGCAAAGTTATGAGCAGTCAAAGTGGGAGCTCAAAAAAAAAGAGGGTGTTCTGGAGTGCATGATTCCAACCCTCCTGATAATTTGAAACATAAAAAATAGATGGATTCTTAGTTATTATAGATGCCGCTATCGTATGACCCTTGGATAAGTTAAAAAAAATTTGTTTGAATGGCGGCAGTTTGAAAAAAAAAAAATTTTCATGTTTTTTTTAACAGTTCCGAATTTTTTAAAAATACTTAATAAAAAGTTATAGCTTTGGGTAAGGTCCACGCGATAAAGCGATGTATAGAGAAGATCCTCTCCAAATTTGAAGTAAATCGGTTCATTAGAACTCGAGATATCCTTACCGCCAGCTCGAAAAAAGTAGTTCCGAGAAAAAAGCGTTCAAAGTTTTGAGACAAGCCGGACCCGAACCGAGACCACGTCACTAAAACGGCTATAACTCAGGAAATAATAGTAATTTTGAAAAATCCTTTTAATGAAATTTTTTTGAATAACTAAACTTTAAAAATATGAAAAAAAATTTTTGATTTTTTGAAAATTCTACAGTAGAATACTCTCTTAAAACACCAATAACTCGAAAATACACTAATAACTCGAAAATTCTCAATATTCAATAATTCTCTACAAAACTCATTACACAAAACAAAGTCATATCCGCCATTATCATTGTCTAAGTCTCCTTGTCCGCTGATAAATAATTTCATAGCCAACTTCATACTTAACTCTATGTCGCACTATATGACCGTTACATTCAAATATATAACGAACCGCATAATATAACCTTAAAATATAAATGAAGTGTAAAACTCTAAATAAAACGTTTCAATTACTTGACAAATTACAATTCTAAAACCAAACCATCTCACATATGTTAATAAATATCAATATAAATTTTACCTTCTTTGTTAATGTCCCAAAGAACGACAATAGCCCCAAGTCGTGCGAGACGTTCAGCAAGTAGCCTTCCGAGGCCTCCGCCGCCTCCCGTGACCACAGCAATCTCGCCATGCAAAGACTTTTCCGTTTTTCCAACTATCGCATGGTAGAATGACTGAAAATCACATATATTGGATGATAAATAATTATAATTAGCGTACAAATATATAAAAACTAGTAGTGCATGGCATCGTTAGAAATTTTTAAAAATCAGGAAAAACGACTTTTTTTGAAAATTTTGAAGTATTTGCAAGTTCTGCAACATATTCAAATCGGTTGATCCATAGCGTCAAAAATGGCGAGGAAATTTGTTTCTATATAGGCGAACTTTAAACATTATAAATCTTGCTACGGAACCCAAGGCATTGGAACCAAAATTTGTACTTATTAATAAAATCTCTATAAACTATCTGATTAAAATTTGGTGCGCATATGTCTGAGTATAATTTTTGGCCGTCAAATGGCATTAGTTAAAAAAACTTCTGGGTCTCCAAAACTGCTAGACCTTCCTTCATAAAAATTGTATCATTTCGTCAATACAAGTGAAATGTTTAGTGAATCATTCAAATCGGACGCTCCGTTTTCTCATAAACTGAATTGTGATTTTGCGCAGTTTTTGCCTCGTATCTTCGAAACGGCTGAATCTACCATAGCCAAAAATTAATCAGCACGTCTCCTCATCAATAGGAATCAAATGTTTGTTTGAATCATTTAAATCAGTTAATATGTGCTCTTGAAATCATCGACAAAAACTAGTATCCGCACACACACATCCATTTTTAGGGTATGTCACAGTGTCCAAAAGGCTTTGAAACGTGAACATATGCAAAAAAAATGATTTTCGATTTTTTTGCGATTTTTGTAACTTATCCTGCGAACTTTACCTTGTGAAATTTAAGAAAATAATAATTCAAAACAAAACAAAGCCATGATGAATCTTTGTGAACATTGAAGAAATTGTAATAATGTAAAGGTAATCAATAATTTGAATATATAGAACAATAACTACTACAAATTGTTTATGTGAATTAACAAAGCTGGTCAAGATTTAACCGAGGCTTTTCTATTTAATACATTTATACCCCCTAATCCTTTGGGGTAGAATGAATATAAATACCTGTAATTTATAATAATTGAGAGACTAGCAAAAGTAACGAGAGAAGAAGATTGTAGAGTGAAGATCAATATATCTTATAATAGTTGTATTATTTACATTTCTTATAGTGACGGGATATTTATAATTTACAGTCCGCTTATTATCTAATTTATCATAGTGATCCCCACCAAATGCAATTAGAATATAACCGAGCATTCTTATTCAAATTTATAAACAGTCCATGGCAAAAGTATTTCACAGAAAAACAAAAGTTCACTCACATACTAACTAGGATATAACAAATCAATTTAGAGTCAATGCAATGATTGTACATTCCGTAAAACAAGAAACTCTTTATTTTCCCCGACGAATTCATTTCGTACAATATCGACCGTGAGATTTACCATAGCACCTGAGATAACGTAATAACTTTGGATGTGTTGAATTTCACTTTTCATCTTGTTCGTAATTTGCTACTTTCTTTAATTTGTCAAACAGTTTTATTCATAAGTTTAAAAAATATCTGAAATTTCTTATCATAAAACAATTAACAACCGGTTTTGAAGAAGCAACAGAGTTCAATTTTCTAATAAAAATTCTGTTCGGAACATTCGAAGATATTTTAGCAATACATTAACTTCCTGTAGGGTAAAATTATGATATTTTCACGTTTTAAAACCCTTTAACATTCCCTATTGTTAGAAAAAAAATTAATGTATGTGTGAGAGTGAATGTATGTTTGATTTTTTTTCAATTATTCAATAAAAATATGACAAAGGTCTATTTTACCTTTTGAGAAGGTTCACAGCCATCATAAAAATATAAAAAAAAGCCAAATAATAATCATTTGGTGCTCCAAAATGAGTACGAACAGTACGTGTTACTTATATAATATACAGATAGCTATTTATTAAAACTAGCTGTAAGTGGAATTCTGTCTTAAGGCAATTAAGGCATCGTGCCTTAAGGCAAATTGCCTTCCCGTACCAAAAATTATTATTTTTTTAAAAACGATTGACATTTTTAAAACAAATTTACTTCGAAAAAATAAGATTTTTGAGAAACTATAAATTAAACAAAAAATTACTTTTTTTTGAAAAAAATTTTTTTTCAAAAAAAAATCTAATTTTTTTTTTCTTTTTTTTTTAATTTTTTTTTGGAAAAAATAATGTTTTCTTTATTTTGGCATATTTTGGAAGATCTTTCTTCAAAGCAATCGTACTGCTTTAACTGCATAGAGACAAAATGTCAAAGCGCGTAAGCGCCGCGTCGCTGTCTAACGAATAAATATTGGTACGGAACCCATAGGAATGCAAACAAAATTTATATTTATTGTTAAAATCTCTATAAAATATCTGATAATTTGATGTGCATATGTCTAATGATCATTTTTGACCGCCAAATGGCATTTTTTTTTACTTTTTTCGTTAGATCTCCGAAACCGCTAGACCTGCCCTCATGAAAATTTGATCAATTCTTCATCTTGTCAATACAAGTCGAATGTTTTTTGAATTATTAAAATCGGACGCTCCGTTCTCTTAAAAACTGAGTTACCGTTTTTGGAACTTTTTGCCCCGTATCTTTGGAACGGCTGGACCTGCCTTCGCCAAAAACTAATCAGCACGTCTCCTTATCAATACGAATCGAATGTTTTTTGAATTATTCAAATCGGTTGATCCGTGTTCCCAAAATCGTCGACGAAAATTTGTATCCGCACATACATACACACACGTACATACATACATACATACACACACACACACACACACACACATACATCCATTTTTTCTAAGGTATGCCAAAATGTTAAGAAACCTCTGAAACGTAAAGATATATAAAAATTTTCATTTTCGATTTTTTTGCGATTACGATAACTTACCCTACGGGAAGTTAATTAAGTCATGTAATTGAGTAAATCATATTACTAGTACCTATTTTCAAGTGAAAACCGATGTCACTGCTTGACATGTCCGGGGCGGGTATCAGTCCCGGATTTTTTTTTATTGAAAGACCATAGCAATAACCAATAATCCACAGAGAAGTACGAGATAACAATATAGCAAGAATTACACATAATGCGATCAAAAAATCTCATGCTGTAGATTTCAAAAGTGGAATCACAGAAACAATATCATTAAGTAACAAAGTTGTAATGTGAACTCCATCAGAAAAATTAAAAAAAAATATCCTTATTTTTTATTATTTGTGCTATTATATCGGTTTCATATCATCGCTAGTATCTTTAGGAACTATAAAATATATACAATAAAAGTTATAAAAATGCAACATAAAAAGCTTATATCTAAAAATTGAGGCAATAATGCCAAGTCAATTTAGAAACTGCAAACTCTTGCAAAATTTTATTGATTGAATTTTTGAATTTTGAAATATTTGAAAAATTCAAACTCTTTGACACTTCGAATAAATATCGTGAGTAATAATCTACAATCGATACATAATTGCTGCTGCAATTTGGCAAGAAAAGAAGGCTTACTAACGAGATTCAAGATAAACGAGTTCGTGTGAACTCTACATATTTCGTGTCCATAAATCATCTGTTGATAATCACATAAAATTCAATATACTATCCATGTCAAGTTCAAAATGATCATTTACAGCTCAATAATTGTAATAACTTAATTTATTATGAATGAGATTCAACACTGAAATATATTTGAGCGAAAATTAACCGTGATAAATTCTTATATTCGGTTAAGTAATTACATAAGTTTATTCATATGCATGTTACTTAATATTCATATCAATTATCACCAATTTATATATATATATATATATATATATATATATATATACAGTGGCGTCGGAACCGTGTGGGCTGTGTGTGCTTGAGCCCACCCATGAATTTTGATGGGAGGGCTCAGCCCACCCATCAATTTCAAAAAATCATATGGGCTAATATCTCTAAAAAAAAAAAAAAAAAAAGACGAGCCCACTGGCTGTCTTTCAAAAAAAAAAAAAAACGAGCCCACCCATCAAAAATTTGGTATAATTAAAATTAATATAATTTGGAATAATTAAAAAAATACGCTTGAATTTTCAACAACGCAGCAAAAAATTCAAAACTTTACAAAAATTTTCAAGATCAATTAATTCGAGATTTTGAAAATATCTAATAACTAAAATTCCATAATATTAAAATATTTTTAAGAATAACTAAAAAAGATGTAGGTGTATAATCGACCTATAATACTAAACTGATTTCTATCTTGATACATATACCAAATAATTTAATAATGATATTTTGTCAGTAAATTATTGATTATAAAACCGTATATTAATCTACATCTCTTCAATATAAATAACATTTTTATCAGCGAAACAATATTTATCTAGTTCAACATGTTTCATAAAAAGGTGTGTTTTTATAGCAAGCAGTGCAAATAATATCAAGTTATTATAATATTAACATAAATATTCATTGATTAGTGATATTAAAACAGTCAATACAATTAGGTTCTATAAGATTCAGTTTTTTGCCTCAACTCTGATTTCTCCAACGAAGAGATTTAATTATAATAGTTTCAAAATATGATCTGCTCAAGGTTTGGCAATTCCGCGGTACCCAATCTTTGCTTCCTGAATTTTGCTTAACGTGTTTCGAGTATATACAACAACACCGTTCGCATTGAATCATTCAAATCAAGTTTCAATATATTACCTGTTCAAGTTTTTTTTAAAAAAAAATCTTGAAAAAATAAGGCCAAACATACCTACAATTTATAGGTATTCATTGTACAACGTTCATATTTTTTCAACAGTTTTCATGGCAAATATACATAAAACGTTATATAGCTCCAAGAATTTAATGATTTTTTGTATGAAAAACGGTTTGGGCACACTCGTGGGTAAGTGGCTAGAGCAACTGGATGAGGTTCCAGGTTCGATCTCGCTTTGAGTCTGATGTCAAGCATTAGTGGCATCGGTTTTCTCTTGAAATATAAATAGCAATATACTTCCAAGTAAAAACAGCCCTCATCTGGCATTTCTGCATAATAAAA